TGTGAAACAATCAGTGAAACTACTGATTAGCTCATATTCATATAGGCCTATATAGGCCGATTTTATTTAGAATAAACCTACAGTTTTGCCCCCAAAATTTATTTTCATAATCTGTTGAAGCCTCTACACACCAGTAGCCCCACTGCTGAGATCTTCATAGGACTATTCTCCCCTCCTGTTTGTCTCTTCAAAACCGCCTCAGAACACCCACACCTGGCCCTGGCTATAGGCCCCCACTTTCACCGGGCCTGGGGCTCCAGCCAGTCGCAGCCCAAGTCTGGCCTCCCCCGACACCAGCCTGGGCTCCTGCAATCTACGTGTATTGTGGTCTGATTGGCATTCAGACATGAACAGATGGGGATTAGCAATTAATGTTCATGTTCTGATGGGCATCAATGCACTGCAGTGGTTAGAACTGTTACATCACAGCAAGAAGGTTCCAAGTTCGAGCTCGGGCCCACCTGGGGCCTTTCTGTGCGGAGTTTGTATGTTCTCCCTCTACCTGCATAGGTTCTCTCCGGGTATTCTGGTACTTCCTCCCAAAGACCAAGGTTGAGTAGGCATCTCTAAATTGCCTGTAGTCGTTTGTGTAGAGTGAAAACAGCAGAGGGCAGAGCACACATCTGAGTGTGAGTGTGTCTGGTTGTCTGTCTACATGTCAGCCCTGTGATAGACTGGTGACTGGTGTACCCCGCCTCTCACCCAGTGTCAGCCTGGATTTGCTCCAGCACCTCCATGACCCTCATCAGGATAAGCTGTATAAATAAAATAATTCTGATGCCTTTTGTTAGAGAGGGGTCATTTTATTGGAAAAAGCAAAACCTGAATCTTTTTCCTATGGAAATGTCTGAAGTTTGGATGTAAAGTAGTACAGCTTGAGAAGGTCAGTCACTACACACATTAAGAGAAAAAAAAACGGTTTGTACTGTATTTTCCTTGTTTAAAACAAGTGAACATCTAAACCAGCCCACACAAACATTCACATATACTGTATTTACAATGTGTCCTTTAGACAAACTTTGCTTTTCACTGGTCATAGAAAAATTTGCAGACACTTAGGAAGTTTGCAGGAGCAAGTCCCAGTGAAAATGCAGTCCCAGCTTCTGCTGGATGAGAAACACACAATACAGTGTTTTAACAAGACAAACAAACTACAAGACCATCACACTCTCCCCCAGCAGGCTCCAGTGCTATACAGCGCTGTTCTGCATTACTATAGTGGTCATGACACATGCACATGACACAGCAGTATACGCGGCTGACCCGGAATGCAAGCATGCAAAAAAAAAAATTGTTAATTTTTTTTATGTTATTTTTTTTATTTTGCCTAAGTCCCTTTTATTTCAGTTAAAATTAAGTCATAATTTCTTTTTTTATTTTTTTTATTTCAAGTATGTGGTTGGCCGGTAAACCTCGTTGGGGGGTTATGTTTGAGTTTTCTTATTCAACTTGAGCTAAAACAAAAAGAAAATAATCAATACTGATGCCAAACCATAACTTTTTATGGTTCTCATGTGGTACACCTAAAATGTGTTACCACATTGTTTTATTTATTGCATTATTTTAGCAATTGGCCAAAAATATATTTAATTCATACAGTCTAACTGTATACCTACATTTAATATTAAGAGACATTGTACTGTGTCATTTCCAAGTGCTTTCCAGATTTAATAGTGGGTATAGAGCATGAAAAGTGAGGTGGAACCTTCGTTTCCGGTGTGGTCGCCCCGCAGGTTGCCCTTAGCCAGTGGACTTACTGTTATCTCTGAGCCACAGTGCTTCTCATATTCATTGCTCTTGCCTAGTATATTATTTTCCAGGTTAGTACATGGTAAAACTTTCCAAAAGTAACTTTATAAAGCTTTGCTTTGCTTCTGTACAAGTATATGGGTTTACTAGGATGCTTGTTTGTACGTATTTGGCAAAAATAGTAAGTTAATTGTTCGTGGTTCTGGCTGGCGGTAAAGCGGGCCATATGCAGAAAAACCCGCGAGAGTTCATTGACTATAGCGCTGGAATGTGTTCATTTGCTTTATGTTAAAGAAATATGCACTGTCTATGTTTGATAAGGACCCGGTGTAAAGACATATGGTTATGCAGATTCAATTGTAAGGGCACAGAGTTTTATACTTCTCCATAAAATGGGTTTATATTGAAGTTAATGATATGAATGTATTAAAATGTGTTCTGTTGGACAGCAATTGAAGAGATGCAATCTGGACGTAAACGACAGTGCTCCTCGTATTCATTGCTCTTGCCTATTACATTATTTTCCAGAAATTCTTTCCTGCTACGGCCACTCCACCATTGGGGCCAATAACATCATATTTACACAGGTTATATTCTGATGGAGTTACACATATATAGAGTTATCAGATATTAGTATGACATATCTCAACATCAATTAGAGCGGAATGGTACAATAAATACATTAGGTGAGTGAATAAAACTCACTGCAGCTACACTATACTACAGTTTGTGGTGCTATCACTCTGTGGGTGGTGAGGTCACCTGTTGGCAGGGGTATGTAGATTCTCCAGCCTTCATCGCAAGTATGTGGTCGGCCGGCGAACCTCAGAGGAAATCCTCACAGGACGCCTTGACAGCCAGAGCCACGCCCTCCGAGTGCCAATCCCTATTGGCTTACTGGCGTCACGTCAGTTACTATTACTACTAAATGCGTATTAGGTTTTCCGGACGTGGGAGGCCTCCCAGCAGGGGAATTTGTCTCACCTCTGCAAAGTAGCATCGTTGATGTGAGGATACTTGTAACAGTTTCATACATAGATGGGATTGTTGTCAGAGCTCTATTGCGCTGTAGCTGCGATATCAATAGCATTTTGGGGGTTTGGGGAGGGAGCGAGCCTGGCAGAGACAGACAACTCAGATGACTCTAAATAAGCTCTGGGACACTCACTTTGGATATATTTGCCTTAGTTTTTGTGATGAGAGTGACAGGAGTGATGACTATGAAAACTACCCACTCACCCAACCAGTTGAGGGAGAAGGCCGCCCACCGAGAGCCGGGGTCTGTTGGAGGTTTCTTCCATTAAAGGGAGTTTTTCCTCCCTGCTGTCACCAAGTGCTTGCTCAACAGGGGTTTGTTGGGGTTTTCTCTATAATGATAATAATAGTAAGGTCTAGACCTTAGTATGTAGTGTCCTGAGATGTCTTGTTGTGATTTGGTGTTACACAAATACATTTGAATTGAATTGTACTGTCAAGTGAACAGGCTGACACCATGTAGAATTATTTTTCCAGTCACAGCTGTTCCCTGTGCAGAGGCATAAAAATGTAAATGTTATCAAAATACTGTTAATGAAGCATCAAATATTAAGTACATTTTGTCTGTAAAATTGTAATTCATAAGAATTTTAACTAAAAGGTGTAGTTAAGACTACAGATGGGAAGGTGAAGCATGTTTCCGCAGCCTATCTGTTTATTGGTGGAAGATGGACAGGGGTAGAAGCTGAGGTCAGTGTTTTAGATTCCTGAGTCAAAAGTTGTTCAGGATTGTGTTGTTCAGCACCAGGGACAGCGCATGTTGTTTCACTTTCTGGTAAAAAAAGTGATCAAACTCCCTTCAAAAATCCAGCAGGTTAATTTTGCTTTTATGAGAAACATAACATTCACTATACTGCAGAACTTGAACTGCGCTAACTTAAATGTAGCATCCTCTGGTAAAGTCATAGTAGTAATACATAAAGTTGGATTTACTGCAATAATCACTCTTAAAATTAGGCTGCTGCTGGCTGTCATTCCACTTCTTTGGCCATGTGTAGTGTTAATGACCTGTATACAAAGTCCCCAAATGCTTTCAAAAGTTTGGTAGTGTATGTCTTTGTTAGCAACAAACATGCATCATGAAACCAACGCTGAGCTGTTGAATGTTAACTTGTCCTGGTAAGTTTGCCTTAAGTAGAAATACATCATCATTAATATATCATCTTTAACATTAAGTTCCTGCTGCTTTGACAGCTGTTTAAGATTGTTTTACCATCACAGTGTACTTGTATTTCCATATAGCCATCATAGATTAAGACATGTTAATCTTACCTTAATGTTTTAACAACATGAAGGAACCAGCATGCAGAGCTTCTCAGAGTACCCCCAGGAGTTGTCAAAGTCTTAAAATATGACTGTTGGAGCTTTAAAATGACCACAAAATTCAGGGTGTTTTTCAGTCTTCAAGCATTACAGCTCATGTTATTACAAGTTAGAATTATTAAACCAAAAACAATGCAATAATTAAAAACAGCACTGTGACATCTTTGACCTTTGCTCTGTAATTTATTTCTTCTGAACATCCAGGAGGCATCTATTCCATTCATTTGAGAGAAATCACAGCAAGTTTCCACTGCTGCATGAACATGGTGGGTAGGGAAGGTTCTGTTACAAGACATTTCGGGGTGAGGGAGAGCATGTGTCAGCACAATACTCCTTTCACTGTTCTTTTAATCTTGTTCTACCTCAGTAGATAAAGCTTATTTGTAAATTGTAAAAACACATTTTAGGACTTGCCTTTTATAAAGTGTGTGCATCTATTCCCCTAGCAAAGTGAATTTACTGCAGCAGGAGTTCGAAATACATTGAGCCCAAAATAGCTGCTTGCGAGAGCGAAGAAAAGGAAGTTTTGGTGTCCGGTTTTTTCTCTTCTCCAGCCAACCATACAATGTTATGTAAATTGTGGGATTGGTGTATAACAGTTGTGATATACTTTTGGACATTTCACAGGATACAATCCTGGACCGCTAGGATCTACTATCCTCCGAGCAGCACTGCCTGTTGTGTTCACGCTTGTATCCTAGCAACGCAGGGATATACCATTTGTAGGTGGACATGTTAAAATAACTAACACTTTTGCAATAAACCAGCATTTTGCTTGAATCACATGTATGTGGGAACATTTTATAATCATAAACATAACTCTTTATACATATGTAAAAAAAATTTGTGAGTAGATTTTGCCTTCATTTTATCGGAAATATCCGCACTTCCCTTTCCCGGTTGGAATTACGTGGCCCTCTAGTCTTCCGCTAACAAACAGTGGCGGGTTGTTGCAGAGGTAAGTCTATATCAAATTCACTGGAAAAGCAAATGACATTTTAATAGTTAAGTATTAGTAGTTTGTTAAAATAAGATCTTTAGGGTGTCTGTATAGTTGCATGCGTTTTTAGGTTACTATCGTACTTTTTTCACATGTTGTCTGACGAACGAACAAACTGCCCGTGGTTCTGAATAAACGATAAAGTATGCGGTTAGCAGACCACAACCATGAAGTTGGCCTCTAACTAGCTATCTCTGCACTTTAAGTTAACGCTAAATATGTTAGTCACTACTTAGAAGCTCAATATCTAGTCTACTTCAAACATGCTAATTTAATATATCCAGTCCTGGTTGGCTGGAAGAAAGTTAAAACTCCACTCAAAAAAAGAAAAAAGAAAACCCATCAAACAGGTGTTTGTCCTGCAGCCAATTAACCGGCGTATTTGTCATTCGGTGGTAAATTTTACACATAGGCATTGTATCGTGTTAAAGTTGTAGCTGTTTGCTTATGCATTTTAACTGTGTTGACGTTGACTTGACTTTTATTACATAACTGGATGTTGTATTTACTGTAGTGTGTGTTGTTTGTTGTTTGTGTATACTGTTATAACAATGTCTTTGCTGCCCTATTGGCCAGGTCACTCTTGAAAAAGAGATGTTATTCTCAATGAGGCCCGGTTAAATAAAGGATAAAAAATACTGTAGTTGTGGGATAATGTAAACATGTGATAAATGTTAGCCCCTCTTATGGTACATTTAAAAAAGACCAGTGTAGCTTAATTGCGGTATACATTTATATTTATTTGTTTGAGCCTTTATTTGTTTAAAATTTCTTCTGCCAGTGGATAACATTACAGCAAATGCCCCTTAAGCCCGGCTTCTTAAAGTGTTTAATAATTATCTCTTTTTTTCTCGTCCACAGCAGATGGAGAACTTCATCCTCTATGAAGAGCTTGGGACGGGCAGTAGCTCTGTTGTCTATAAAGGAAGAAGAAAGGGCAGTCTTAGCTATGTAGCCATCATCTGCACGGACAAAGCAAAGAGACCTGAGATTACAAACCATGTAGGGCAGTTCTTTAAACTGTATAAACCTACTAGAACATCTGTTACTGCTTCTTTTTCATGTACAGTAACCAAATTATAGTGTTTGACTTAAATTTTAATAGACAAGAGTTTTAGGCCCCCTGTCTGTTTCCAATTTTAATAAGAGATTTTAATCAACATTGTCCACTAAACAGTGTGCAGGGTATTGGATGTGAATATTTTAGGGTGGATTTTGTTTTTGTCAAAATCCGTGTCATGAACTATACCTGCATTTACATATGTCTTGTTTCTGGCCCCTGCTAGGTACGTCTCAGCCACGATCTGGATCATGAAAACATAGTGAGTTTCTATGAGTGGTATGAGACAAGTAACCATCTCTGGTTGGTAGTGGAGCTCTGTACAGGTCAGTAATTATGTTTGGGTAATGCATCATTAGAAGGAGTTTATCACATTTCAGACTGTCAAACAATGGGAAGTGACAAAGATATTATATGGAGGTGGCTTAAAATATTTTACAGATAGTGAATGCCCTAGTTTGCATGTTCTCCCCGTGCTTGCGTGGGTTCTCGCTGGGTGCTCCGGCTTCCTCCCACAGTCCAAAGACATGCAGCTTAGGTTGATTGGTGTCTCTAAATTGCCTGTGTGAGTGGTTGTTTGTCTGCATGTTAGCCCTGCGATGGACTGGCGACCTGTCCAGGGTGTACCCCGCCTCTCGCCCGCAGCTGGCTGGGATTGGCTCCAGCCCCCCATGACCCCGTTTGGGACTAAGCGGTATAGAAAATGGATGGATGGATGAATGCCCTAACATTATGGTTTATCCAGGTATAGATTGTAAACTGCCATGTTTTTATATGCAGAGAAGATTGTTGATTTCTCAAACAATGCAGGTGTTACTGTTACTCTGTTTGAGTTTTTTTTTCCTTTCCCTGTCTCAGTCATACTTGCTATTTTGTCTTCTTATCTGGACAGTCTCTTTCTATTGTGTTAGGTGGTTCCCTGGAGTCTGTGATTGCTCAGGATGGATGTCTGTCAGAAGATGTGGTGAGGGGGTTTGGATGGGACTTGGTCAAAGGACTAAAACACATCCATGAATTAGGAATTGTTTTCTCTGACCTGACCCCTACTAAGGTTAGCATTTGTATTCATACAGTGTGTGTAAGATGATAATAGCAAAATTGGCATTCTGTACAATAACTCTCATTTGTTCGCTCATAGATCCTGCTGGATGGTAGTGGCATCCTGAAGTTTGGTAACTTCAGTCTGTCCAAGGCAGAGGGAGAGACAATGGAGGATTTCTTTACCTTGCTCTATACAACCGAGGAGGCAGAGGAAGGAGATGACAAGGAGAAGACTGACAACATTAGAAAAAGATTACGAGGTAATCATTTTGGTTTTATATATATTGGATTGTTTGAAAACAACATTGTTATTTGAAAAATCAGGTAGGCAAGGATCTTATATGACAGACAGTGTGGAAAAATCAGCCAAAGGAGTGGTCAGCTGAAGAATGAGCTCGTAACCAATACTGTTTATGTTGATGAATTAACAAGTGGTCAGCTGAAGAATGAGCTCATAACCAATACTGTTTATGTTGATGAATTCAAAATGCCAGGAGGCAAGGAACAGAGAACAAGGGGATGGAATAGTCTTTCTTATGACATGATGATCATATCAAAAACTAAAAACTGAGAACATATACAACCCCAAATTAGAAAAAAGTTGGGATGGTATGTAAAATCTAAATTAAACCTAAAAATATTGATTTGTAAATCATCTGTGCCCTGTATAACATTGAAAGTAATACAGCAGCACATTATTTGAGGTGATACCTCATCACTTTTATTCTTTATTCAAAATAAACACTCACTTCAATTCTGATGTCTGCAACACATTCTAAAAAAAGTTGGAACATTAAACATTTACCACGGTGTGATGTTGCCGTTCCTTTTCACAACAATTAAAAGACGTTTAGGGACTGAGGACACCACGTGATTAAATGTGTCAGGCGTCATTTTGTCCCATTCTTCCTGCAAACAAGTCTTAAGGTGCACAACAGTCCTGGGTCTTCATTGACGCAATGTGCCATACATTCTCTGTTGGGGACAGGTCAGGACTGCAGGCAGGTCAGTCCAGCACTCTCACCCTTTTCCTCCACAGCCAGGCCTTGGTAATGTGCACAGTAAGAGGTTTTGCATTGTCTTGTTGAAATATGCATGGGCCTCCCTGGAAGAGATGTCGTCTTGAAGGCAACACATGTTGCTCCAAAGTCTCTGTGTATTGTTCAGCATCAATGGAGCCATCACTGAGGTGTAAATTACCTTTGCCAAGGGCACTGACACAACCCCAGACTATGAGACCCTGGTTTTTGGACTTGTTGCTGGTAACAGTCTCCGTGGTCCTTTTTGTCCTTGGTCCAGAGCACATGGCGTCCAAAAAGACCTGAAATACTGATTCGCCTCACCACAGTACATGTTTCCACAGTGTGATGGTCCATCCCAGAGGCCTCTGAGCTCAGAGCAGTCGACTGAGCATCTGGACACTGTTGACATAGGGCTTCCTTTTGGCAAAGTACAGTTTTAAGTACCATTTATGGATGTAGCTACGTATTGTAGTGCCTGACACAAGTGTGCCGAAGTCATCCTGAGCCCATGTGGTTATATCACTTATAGAAGAGTGATGATTCATGATGCAGTGTCATCTGAGGGATCAGAGATCACGGTCATCCAGCTTAGGCTTGTGTCCTTTCCCTTTATGCACTGAAATCCCTTCAGATTCCTTGAAACTTTTAATTACGTTCTGCACCATAGAGGGTGACATGTCCAAATCCCTTCTTATTTTTCTTTGAGGAACATTGTTTTTAAACATGTTAATGATTTTTTTCATGCATATGTTGGCAAACTGGTGGTCCTCGGCCCATCTTTGCTTCTAAAGGGCTTGAACTTTCCTTGATGCCACTTTTGTACCAAATCATGATGCAGTCACTTATTTCAAATGGAATCATCATTTCATTGTTTTACCTCATTACTGGCCCTGAAATGCCATCATCCCAATTTTGTTTGGAATGTGTTGCAGACATCAGAACTGAAGTAAGTGTTTATTTTGAACAAAGAATAAAACAGATGAGGTATCACATCAAATAATGTGCTGCTGTATTGTTTTCAGTGTAGTACAAGGACACAAGTGACTTACACATCACTATTTCCAGTTGTAATTTTGATTTTACATATGTGCCCACTTTTTCTGATTTGTGGTTGAAGTATACTCTATGATAACTTCTAAATAAGTCCACATTTTGTCAGTAATTTAAATCATTGGTTTAATATTAGTCTCCACAATTTACCACACTGATGACCAAGAATACTAAGCTCATAAAAATGTGGAATTTGGGCAAAACTCAGTATCAAAACATCTTTTATTAATGATGGGACTGGTTGTCTTCTTATACAATTTTTGTCTTTCTTAATTACTTTATGTGTGTGCATGTATATTTTTAGGTTCTCCAACTTACAGTGCTCCAGAGGTTTTGCAGGGATCAGAAACCAATGTGAGCTCTGATCTCTGGGCTCTGGGCTGTATACTCTACTACATGTACACTGGTATCCACCTGCACACATACACACACTAAGTACTGTATAATTAATACACATAAGCATCAATTCATTTAACAAAGGGTTTTGTACTTTGTTGGGTATTTATATTTCATGGTGATGGTAATTGATAAAGGTATTAATTATCAAGAAACAGAATAAAAGTGCTGTAACCTATGAGGTTACAGCACAGAGTACAGCAGGCAATAGGATGCTAACGCTGATCTCAATATACAGTAACAATATGCTACACTATACTATACTGTGCTGTATTGTAAACCAGAACCAACACTATTTTTGTTTTCCAGGTAAACCTCCATTCTGTTCTGACAGCTACACTGAACTGGCAGAGATGATTTTACATCAGGATCCACCACCTCCCAGACAGACAGGTAATACACAAGGGCATACCTGACTCACTCACATACACACACGCACTTGCACACAGAGATTATCACATAAACATTTTGGTGCTACTTAGCAAAACAAATATTGTCATCTGTAAGTGACTTTCGTTTAATTAATGAAGCTCATTCTTTATTCTTCACCCTTCATTGTTTTTTGTCACAGTGTTTGCAGCCAGTCCTCCTAGTGAGGACTTCCAGAATCTTCTGAAAGGCTTGCTCAACAGAAACCCAGATAAGAGGTCAGGTTCGTTTACCCACACACACCGATCCAGCATACTCAAATTTACTACTGCAGATTTTATTTGTAATTACAACACAGCATCCATACTGTCAATTTTAAATTATTGTAAGATGGTTGTAACTGACATTTTTATTTTAACATCAAATGCTGCAGATGTTATTGTTGCACATTATTTAAATAGAAAAGTATAATAGTCCAGGTGGTTAAATGTTCATGAACCTGCAACAGAATTAAACTAATTTCCTAATGTTATTTGATACTGAATCCTTATCCTAACAGCATAGCCATTACATTGTACTTTGCATTTAAAATGTTTTATAAATAAAGCAAGTATTGTTCTCGTCTCATATAACAACAGTTTTTAAGATGATAAAATATTTATTTATTTATTACTTTGTTTGTTTTAAATTTAGGATGGCCTGGCCAGAGTTGTTGGCCCACCCTTTTTGGACACAAGTACGGGATGAGGAAGAAGATGTGGAAGGTGTAGAAGAGGAGGAAAACACCTGCTATGAGGAAGTTGGTCAAGCTAGATTGGGGTGTGTTTCTCTTGATTTAACACTTCCTACAGAGTTCTACAAACACTTTGTTGAATCCATTTTATTGCATTCAGATTTGGTTTGTGAAAGACCAGTAAAGATGCCCACATTAATGTAGATATAAATCCACAGTGAGAAGCTAAAATGTTTGAAAAGCCTTTCAATATGATGCAATAGAATGCATTCGCATGACAAACAGCCAACCGAATTACCATAAAGTTTAGTGAAAACAGTTCTGCATTGCTGTATCTATGGTGCATTTTTTTAAATTTATTTATTTATTTTTTACATTTTTACTTCAACTGAATGTTTTTGTTTGGTTTTACAATACTTCCACAGACACACAGGGATACCTGACCCTTTCCTTCCAGAACAGGCAGATGAGTTTCCCTGCAACCAATTGACCATCCTCCAGCCAGTCCATAGAATTTCTGAGGAATTAATGTCATCACAGACAGAAGTTTCAACTAATGACAGACTATCTGACAGAGGGACTGGTAGCCAACAAGCTGTCAGACACACAACCCGTAGCACCTTAAGGAACAGCCAAGGCTTGGATAGAGAGGTGGCAACAGAAGATCACCCCAGGCTAGATAGGGCCCAGCAGTTGTGCCAACCACTGCTGGCCAATACATCATTCACACTAGGTAACACATTCCATGATGTCTGTGTTTAGTTGTGTTCATGTATTTTAAGTTCAGCATTTTAGTATGTCTTCTGCATATGTGGATGTTGTGTGTGTGTGTGTGTGTGTGAAGCATGTTAGTATGTCTTCTGCATATGTGGATGGTGTGTGTGTGTGTGTGTGTGTGTGTGTGAGAGAGAGAGAGATAGGGTTAAATGTGAAAGGTTTTTGTTTGGACATTACGAGAGAAGCAACCACTATCTCAGCAGAGGGTGACTTATGTGCCTTCTCCTTCAGGTAACGTATCAGAGCTCAGGCCAAAAAGTGGTGTGGATGAGGACAACACAGAGGCCATTTTTCTGCTCAGGTATTTGGTTCAGTCTACCTGCTGCCTCTTCCTCTTTTGTCACGGTTTTCCAGCATCACATGATATAATTACGTTGTAGGCTGCTTGTTGGACTTGTTAATTTTTTTTATCCTGAATTAAAAAAAAATCACAAATGTTTTTATAAGTTGTACTTTTTCCTAACTCTTGTGTTGGACACATGCATCTACAAATACAATGCATTGCTGTGTGTACACTAGGCCAGCACATAAAGAGTAATTTTAGAATCACTGGCCACAGTGGTATTCACACATCTATCCTTAGCAGCACAGAGCTCTATTAATTAAGCTACAGGCTGTGAGCCTCATGCACATGCTGTGTCCAACTGCTGACCATGAGCAGCTCACTGTATATTGAATATTCCCTTCCTGTTGTTCTTCTAGTTCTCGTGCCAACTCTAGAAGGAGCTGCAGTACCTCAGACTCTCCAAACCAGAACCCTGTACCTCAGGTAACTGCTACCATACAGTACACTGCAAGCAGCTGAGAGGAGTGATTATACTGATAGTAATGCCTTGGGTGACTGGCAAATTAGCAACTTAGTTATTGTGCCTAAGCCCAGTAATTCTTCTGCTGTTTTTCTTAAATTTTACATCTGCTGGTTTCTCTTCAGCCTTCTCCTGCTGCGGTTGACTTTTCTGCCCCTGTCTGTTTTTTTTCTCCTGCTGTTAGGCCAGCACTGACATCACATCATGTGTGAAAGCTCTTCTCCACACTGACTCTGATCTGACTGTGACACCAATCATAGACAACCCCAAGGTACGGGCATGTAGTATTATTGGGCACATTTCAGATTTTTGGGTGTTTTCATACTTAAATACATGTATTTGAGTTTTTATAATCTTCAGTAGTAATTGTCCTTGTGAAGTCTTTCCTGCTGTCCAGGTTTTATTACAATCTCCTCACACAATGAAACTGTATTAAGTAAAGCTACATTTGTACTAGCAACAATGACATGGATGCCTCTTGCTTAAAACTGGTTTACTGTAAATCTTTCAGTGTTATTATTGCTTGCATACAAACTAGGAAAGAAATAAAATATCTATGTGGGCATTGAAACAGCTCAGACTTAAGTTAATCTGTGGTGTTGTCTTTCTCTTTAACAGATTTTTAAGAGTCCTCCTGTGCGTTTTGATCCAAAAACACTTTGTGTACCAGCATATTCAGGTGCATTCATTTTTTTGAGTCAAAATCAAGCGGTTTCTTCAGTGTCCTGCAGAAAGTACAGAGGATATCGGTGTCTGTTCACTGGCTCCAGTTTGTCTGATGTTTTTCATCTCCTCTCCAGTTGAGAAGCTGCAGTCTCTGAATGATGAACAGTGGACTGTCTTCCTCTTAGAGCTTTGTTCATCTCTTGAAGAACAGAATCCCTCCACTCCTCTGTCTTCCTCCACTGCTGCTCCTCCATCCTCCACAGCCATTCGCTCCAGACTCAACCTGCTCTGTTACCTATGCTGTGTGGTTGGACATAAAGTTATTGCCAACAGGCTGATTGCCTCAGAAGTGGTAGGAAAATCTATATTTACTTTGGATTACTGTAAAAGTAATATTGCATCATTGGTCAGGTTTAATGAGACAATTTTGTATTTTATTAGGGAAATTTTTTTATTTCTAAACACTAAATGTCAGTGAACTTGAGGTTGTAAAATATTTTGTCCCTCTGCACTGGTGACAGCCATGGTCAGAAGCATTATGTATTTTGATTGTCTGTCCCATTTTTGTGAATGCAATATCTCAGAAATGTCTTGAGTCTAAAACCCACGATTTTTCATATTTTTTCAGATTAATTTCTTACTCTTGTTTGCCTCCTCTTTTTCTCTTTGTCTGACTTGAATTTTCTGTCTTTCATGCAGTTTCCAACATTAACCCAGCAGTTACGACAAGCTCCTAACTGGGATGTGTAAGTACATCATGTACTGTAGCCCCTCTGTAAATGGTTACTACTGATACACAGTAGTACAGTAAACTACAACCTCAAATCAGAAAAAGTTGGGATTGTATGTAAAATCAAAATTCTAACTGAAAATAGTGATTTGTAAATGTGTTTGCAGTCCAGACCTGTTGCCTGACTTGCTGAAATGAGTTGCTGGCATTAAAATTTAAAATGAGCACTTGTTTTTCAAAAAAAACAATACAATGCTTCAGTTTCAACATTTGATGTGTTTTTAATACAATTTTCAATTAATTATAGGTCTTAAATTGTTTGCAAATCATTGAATTCAGTTTTTATTTATTAAATTTTTACATTTTATGCAGTGTCAACTTTTTTGGAAATAGTGTTGTACACATTTCGATTGAGCGATATGTAAACAGAAATGTCACTTACTGTATCATACTTAAAAATAAATGAAAATGTTTTTCAGGCGGAGTAAGGTTCTCAGAGTGATGGGTCTACTGGCTCTGCACTGTACTGAACTCGGGGAGGAGAGTCCTGTTTCAGAGGTCCGTAACACACACACCACACACAGACACGTATTTGTTTTTGTTCCTTGTGGGGACTTTACATTGACTTATAGTAAATTTATGTCCAGAAGTCTTACGCTAACCTTAACCACTATTTGCCTAAAACTTGCCCTTATCCTAACCTTAGACCAGATGGTCACCCTAAAATTCTGTGATTTGCATGGCCTTGACCAGCATCTGGTCCCCACTAGGAAGGCTGTCCCCACAGTGTGATTGTGTAAACAGGTTTTGTCAACAAAGTTTGAGTAATACTGGTCACACACAGACATTATGTAAATGGGAATTTAAACTCTATATTGTTTCACTGGTGGTATGGTGGAGCAGTGGGTTAGCACTGTCAGCTTATAGCAAGAAGGGTCTGGGTTTGAACCTCCTGGCTAACTAGGGCCTTTTCCGTGTGAAGTTTGCATGTTTTCCCTGTGCCTGCGTGTGCTTCCTGCAGGTAATCCAGCTCTATCCTACAGTTCAAACATGCAGGTTAGGTTGACTGCTGACTCTAAATTGCCAATTTAGTGTGCGTGTGTGAATAGTTGTCTGTCTCTCAGTGTCAGTCCTGTGATAGACTTGTGACTTGTCCAGGGGGTACCCCGCTTCTTCCCCAGTGTCTGCTGGGATTGGCTCCAACATGCCTGTGACCAACTAGCAGTACAGTGGATGGATTGTTTTCACTTCAAGTTCACATTGAGTATTGAATTTCAGTATATCAGTCTTTGTTCAACCTTTAAAGGCTAGTACAGGCAGGGGTAAGCATGAAAGAATCATTCTAAAATCAATCTTTTGTCATTTTTTTCTACACATTAAGGTACATTGCTAAAGCCATATTAAAGTGTAGTACCAGTTTGCACCAAAGAGGTGGCAGTACATACCAGCAGAAGCCTACCCAAGAAATGCACATTTCTGCACAAGAACACACATAAGACATAAACACAATTAGTGCATATACTGCATGCAATATATGTAATAGTTGCTTTATTTATAGAAAGTTCTGCTTAATGTTGCTGTGCATATATATATGTTTTGACCTTATTCGTCCCTTTGCTCTGCTCAGGGACAGTAATTAAAATTCCCCAATATGAATATCCCTTAAAACAAGATGTGGATGGGAATGCCTGTTCTGTCCACTCTTACGTTATAGTACTAGTATATACCAGCAGGTGGCATTAAAAACCAGTAAGACACGATTTTCATTAGCCTCAGAGATCCTGAAAACACCTCTCTTATATTAATGAGTTAAAACTGTTTGTCTCTTTACATGATCATAAACTGATTAGATGTAGTTTTCCAGCTTATGATGATACTAATATGGCAGCTGGAAGTAGATGTGCTGCATGTAGTGGTTTCAGAAAGTATTCAGGGTCCTTCACTCTTTGCACACTTTGTGTTGTAGATATAATTTAAAATGAATAAAAGTTGCCTTTTTTGCATGTCAGTCTACACTCAGTAACCCACAATGACAAAGTGAAAACATGATGTTTGAATTTTTTTGTACATTTATTAAAAATCAGTGACCAAAATCTCTAATTTAAAAAAGTATTCAGACCCTTTGCTCTGGCACTCCAGGTTGTGGTCATGTGTATTGTGTTTGCTTTGGTTTTCCTTGCGCTGTGTCTAAAACATGACTGAAGTCCACCTGTGACAAATTTAAGTGACTGGACAAAGTTTAGAAGGGCACATGCCCGTGTATATAAGTTCCCATAATTCACACTGCATGTCAGGACAAAACCAAGCCATGAAGTCTAAAGAGCTCTCTGGAGACCACTGCGATTTAAATTGAGGTGAGACCTAGCTCAGGGCGAGTGTATGAAATCATTTCTAAAGCTCTGAGTGTTCCCAGGAGCACAGTGGCCTCAGTAATTGTGAAATTGAAGTAGTTTGTAACCACCAGGATTTTTCCTAGAGTTGGCCGTCTGGCTAAACTGAGAAACTGGGCACAAACAGGCTTGGACGGGGAGGTGACCATGAACCCAGCAATCATTCTAACAGGACTTCAGAAGTACCCTGTAGAGATGGGAGACCCTGTTATAGGGATGACCATCTCAGCAGTACTCCATCAATCAGGCCTTCATGATAGAGAGGCTAGACAAGAGCCGCTTTGAGTAAAAGGCATATGACAACTGGATGGAGTTTGCCAAATGGCATTTAAAGGACTCTGAGAGCATGAGGAAAACAATTTTCTGGTCTGATGAGACAATAATTGAGCTCTTTGGGCAGAACTCCAAGCACTGCCTGGTGAACACCAGGCACTGTTCATCACCTGGCTAATACCATCCCTATAGTGAAGCATGATATCGAAGTCTAATACAAACATCCTGCTATAAATCCCACTTTCATGAAAGTTGGAATGTTCAGTTTTTGAAGCTGTTTCAGATGGGTGTTAATTAAGCTTAATGATTGTTGGAAGGATGCAATTTCTGTCGCTGTTGTAGTGCATCATGCAGAAAGGTAGATAAAACCTCTCAAACAGTTTTAAACAAAAATGGAACATTATAGCCTTCATGAAGTTACTTATTACAGGATTGTTGCATAAGACTATGTTAACATAAGATTTGCGTACATAATAAATCATAGCAAAAAAAAAAGTGTTGTCATATAATAGGACACTAGTCAGCACTCACATTCTTCTAGTGAATTGGCCATTCAGATACTTTATCAAGATCCCTTCAATACACACACGTACATGGAAACATGCACACATTCAGACAGTGTGGTGTGGAACTAATTGAACATAAACAGTATTGTATGGTAGTGAGAGCTGTAGTGTAACTCTTCTTATTTGATTCTTGCATCCTCAACAGAGCTTCATGACTTTTCCTGTCTTTTTCTTTACTTTCCCTGTGCTCTTTGACTCTTCATTTTTTCAATAGCATCTTTCTTATTATGAATGAAATCTATCTGACTACAGTAGTTCTGATCCCACCTCTGCTCCCTCTCCTGGTTTGTCTTTTTCTTCTCTCTTTCTCCACTTGCTCTGACACTTTATTGCTACAGAGTCATCATGATGATTTACAAAATGGTCGACTGTGGCATAGCAATGTTTTTTTTGTGCACTTGTTATAGACAAATGGTGGAACATTTTTTTCTGCTACACTCCTTACCTCCATGCAGCTTACCATAGGGTGACAAATTGTTAAGAACAGGACGAAGCTGTATGTTTGTGTTTGTTTCTTAGTGTGTCTCCCTGTATTTGTCTGTGAGCATGTCCATCTATAGACAGGGTTCTCTGTGCCCCTTTGTATTACTTACATCATGAGGACCGAAACCTGTTAACACACTCACACTGTGGGGACTCAGCCATCCTTGTGGGGACCAGATGCTAGTCCCCACAAGGAAATCACTGAATTTTAGGGTGGCAACATGGTTTAGGGTTAGGATGAGGTTAGGTGTTGGGGTCAGGGTTAGGTGTTAGGCAAGTAGTGGTTATGGTTAAGGTTAGGATAAATCTATAGGAAATGAATGTAAGTCAATATAAAGTCCCCACAAGGAATGAAAACACTGTGTGTGTGTGTCTGTGTGTGTGTGTTTCTAAGTGTGAGTGGGTCTTCTGACACATGTTTTGTGTGTGCACTCAGCAGAGGACCTTGGTATGTAGTTTTTGTGTGTCTCTCCTGTTTCCCAGTTTGTGTACATGCAAATGTTGTTTGTATTGTTATGGTATAGTAATGACCAGTAAAACAGCATATGCTTTTTTATTTGAGTGTGTTATCTCAGCAGGGGTTCTCCTGCTGCAGTCCTGCTGATTGGAGTGTCAGGGCTGGGTTTAGTTACTATGGTAACTGCTGTAAGCTTCAATCCCTCCCAAACATACATACACACACACACACACACCTGTCTGTCGCAAAATCTCACTCTGCTTTCTGTCTGATGTGATTTCTCTCTAGTTTGCCCGTCCTGTCCCTCACTCTGTCTGTCTATCTCTTCAAATAGAATTAAAAAGCTGTGCTTTAAAAATGGACCAGAAGTCATTTCCCCCTTATTATCACTTATAAAGTTTTCTGTGGCTTAAATTTACAACATTTAGCTGGTAAAGCGCCCACTGTGTAGAGTGTTTTATGGGGATATGGAGTCTTAAAGCATTCTAAAAGCTCACAGCAATCTTAAGGAACACACATTCGCAGGCCATTGGTTTCTGGAAAACACTGCTCTGCATTTGTAAATACCTCTTGGAAATGAAAATAGCTTGAACCACTTCTAATATACATTTAACATCTCTTAAATTAGGTGTTTTCTCCTTTGCAAAACCGTCTAAATATTTACAGGATGATGATGTGATATGGGGTACTGCAGAGCATACATACATTTTGCTTCAATCATCTCAGTACAATTGCTAATGTATATTTAGGAAGTTAAGCTGTGCGCTTGAAGATAAGAAGGTTACCTCTGACTGCAGTGCTGCAGTACTGCTTCATATCCCAGTCTCCTCTTTCACCTCAGCAGAAAAAAAAACTTGTATTAGCTGTAAAGTCATGTGCAGTTCCTTATTTACAGGAGTAATAATCTAGCAACTTCTTCTCTCATACAGTAACTGCTCTTGTGCTTTATTTGTATATACATGTATATGTGTAAAACATTGGTGTGCTGTGCTGAAACATCTTTCTATTCTGTCTGCCACTATATGATTGTTGTTTATGCATCTTAATTAAGTGTACATGTTTATGTTTCCTTTGTGTACATTCGTGTGCATTTTTTGATCTAGAAGACTGTTGATGCTGAGATAATGATAATGGCTCCTGGAGGAAGTAGTAGTGTTTGTATTTGTGTTTGCTTTCTCACTCTGACTGGTTGCACAGAGGTGCCTTTCTGCACCCTCTGCTTGAAAGCAGTGCCCAGTTTCAAACACATCCTACAATTTAAACTCTCCAGTCAGCTATTTATGTTATTAGTGGAGGAAAGGACAGGGAAAGAAGATAGAGCAACAGTGTGGGAAATAGGCAGAAAATCAAGAGGAGATTTTTTTATTGCACATGTGTGCTATCAACATACTCTACTAGTTTAACAGTGCTATGGACATGAATTCATAGTTTATGTATAACTAAGTTTAAATAAGGTAAAATAAAAAATCCCCTTTGTCTTAGCAATAATTTTCAGACCTACTCAGGATTCTTGTGGCAAACTGGATTCCTGGATAGCTGCACATGGATGGCTTAACATGATCGTGTGCTATGGTTCTTGAGCAAAGTAAAAGGAAAGATGTGCGAGAGAAAGATGTAGGTGAGAGAGTGAGATACAGTATATTGTGTGATACAGTACATACATGGAGGGCAGTTCAAAGTAAAGCAGAAAAAGAAAAGAAGCAGTAGAGAAAAAACAATAGAGGGGGAAAAAGGTGTGAACAGAGAGAGAGAAAAAGAAAGTGCAGAAGAGAGAGGGAGAGATAGACGAGTGAGGCTCTTGCAAACTTGCATCAGATCACAAAGAGGGGAAGCTGGCAGTAATTCTAATGCCAGGAAGCAGCCAGCCCGGAAAGCTGTCTCTGCATATACTTAACTCTGTGTGTGAGTGTGTGGTTGCATATGTCACTGTGGAGTGCATATGATTTCATGAGTTTGTGTACCTAGATATTACCTAGTTATATGCGTGCATAAAATAATGCTCTCAATACATGCATGTGTTTGTGTATCCATGCATGCATGTGTGTCACCTTGTAGTTTGGTGTGTGTGATGTGCACAATTTAGTGGTTTTCTTACTCTTTTCTTATCCTTTGTTGCTTTTTCTCTTTTTTCTTCATTCATTTGTGTTATGCATTCCCTTCTCTTTCATCTCACTCTTGTTTCATCTTCCTTTTTTCACTTTATCTTCTTCTTATTAGTTATCCTTTATGCTTTTATCTTTATATTTTCCTCCCATCAAAACTTCTTGTGAGTATGCATTGATAAGAAATTTATTGAAACAAAGTAACACATTAACAAAACAAGTCCTGACATGGGAGACAAGACAATGGATACATGACATTACAAAAAGATGTAGAGCGTTTTACAAGATCGTGGTGTGTGAGGCTGTGAAGTGTGTGTATTTCCAACTTATGCAGTCTATGAAGGGCAAGAAAGGGAGAAGGAGAGAAAAAAGATCACAACAACAACAAGAGTACTACCAATAAAAGCAGCTTGTTACATTTCTAGAGGTTGGTGGGAATGTGCGTGACCTCAGCCCCAGGTGTTTGGTTCAAGTTGAAATGTGTTAAAAATGGTTTTCCCTGTTGTCTCAAAAAGCTGATAAACTATTCTTGTGAGTAGATGCCATTTTCTCTAGTGTGATGTATTCTGTCAGAAGGTTGGTCCAGTGGTTTAGGTGTAGTGATTTTTTTGATTTCCAGTTTTGAAAGATTGTTTTCTTGGCAATGGCTAGAGAAATGAGGAGTGGGTTTTTGCATTTAATTGGTAGGTGGTCAACGTTTGTGATATTACCGATATTACCCTTCAAGTCTGAGAGACCTGGAGCAGTTGGCAAAAGAAGAGTGGTCCAAAATTCCAGTAGAGAGGTGGAAGAAACTCACTGATGGTTACAGGAAGTGATTGATTTCAGTTATTTTGTCCAAAGGGTGCACTACCAAATATTAAGTTGAGGGTGTCAACAATTCTGTCCAGTCCATTTCTAGAGTTTGTGTGGAATGGATCAGATTTGACTTTTTCTTTCTGCTTTTTTGTGTTACAATGCAAACAAAAGAAATAAACATGAGAATACCAAAGACTTTGTGATTGCAGTGATTTTCTGGGAGAAGTGGTGTGTTATTGGACAGAAATGCAGGGGTGCCAATGTTTTTGGCCATGACTGTAAAAACATTTACCTGAACATGATTTGTAATGTGGCTTTTAAGAAACACCCAAAATATTTAATGGTTGAATCACCCTGGATGGTACTGTTCAACTTAAAGCGGCTTAATGTGGAAAACATCTGACAGGAAAGAATGAAAATAATGAATGCTCTCCTGGTAAAAGTATAATTGATAGTGATGTTTTTAACTACTTTAGAAAATGTTGGTTATATTTTCTTGTCTTCATTTCAGTTTTACACAGGCAGGATTTTTAGATGTTTTTATTTTGTTTAATTTGCAACTGTGCTCTTAAGACTGGATCCTGCTCTCTTTTGTCTTTCCAGGCTGTGTCCACACTGACAGACCTGTTGAGGGACAATCTGAGGAACAGTAAAGTAAAGCAGTTTCTGTTGCCACCACTTGGGGAGTTCCTCTACCTCATTGCCTCTCAGGTAAACACTGCATGTCAGAAGCCAGTATCAAGTGACACAAAGTGAGAGAAACAGCAGGTGATTGATATAAAGGAAATGAATTAATGGATCCAAGCACACACTGCCTAAGTGAGAAATGGGTGCACATGTGCACTTAGTTACATGAACATAAAGGGCTCTGATTGCAGTGGTTTCATTGCTGAGAAGAATATTATTGTGCCTCAGCACTGGCATTACGTTTTCGGGATGTCCATCTGTCCATTTCATTCTCGTGAACATGATATTTCAGGACTGCCTTGAGGGGATTTCTTCAGATTTGGCACAAATATCCACTTGAACTCAAGGATGAACTAATTAGATTTTGGTGGTCAAAGGTCAAGGTCATGGTGGCCTCATATCTCTGCCATTTCCATGAACTTGAGTGGTTGGGGGAGGTATACAACCACAAAGTGCAAATTTTTTCCCCTGACTTTTTAAAGGTTATTTTCTGGTATTTCTCTTTTATTAGACATGCACAGACAGGGTGTGCTGTGACATTTAATAAAGGTTTTTGATCAAAATTTGATGTTTGAGGTTTTTACTGGCTTATGTAAAAATCTACCCGACTGTAACTGTGAAGTAAAACACAAGATTCATGGAAATGCAGAGATGGAAGAACAAAAAAATCTACTAATGCTATTGCTGCTGAAAACATATGAATGTGCATCGGGAAAAAAAAGAAATACATCTTCTATTTCTCCACAGTGTATGCCTGTCCCTTAAGCTCAGCTCACTGCACTAGAAGAAATCAGGGCTTAAAATCAGCAATCTGTGCCTTTCAGAGACTGCTGGTTTTAATCAAATATGTTAGATTTAGTTGAAATCCTGTAGTTTGTCTGGGTCATTAATTAACTCTTAGACAGGTACTCTCTGCATTGCTGAGGCCTGATACTACGTCCTGGACATGCTATCATAGTCAAAAACGTCATTATATTCATTGATCGATTCATAATGTCACATGTTGTGAGAGATAGAATTATCCCCCTGCTGCTCACTCTGCTGATAACTTTCAACCTGAAATAAAAGTAGGCTGGCAAAGTTGCTCATCTGTAGTTTGCTCTGCAAATAATGTGCAAACTAGCCCATAACATTCTGTGTTACAGATGGATTTTTAAATGTGGATAGTGAAAATCCTCGTTCAGAGAAAGGTTTCTCTTTTCCCAACTCTTAAGTGGTTATTATGGAATGAGTCAAAAATGATGCAGCACAACACTCATTCCAGATGCAAGAAAGATCAAAAGACATTTTCTTATTACTTCAGTGGAAAGGCCAATCTTGAGTGAAATGAATGAAACTGAGTGCTTTGTCATTAGGTCATGTAGTTTAAATTTACATGCTGATTAAATTGAAATGAAAGCGATTTGATCCCCAGTCCTAAAAATTACAAGAGAAAGAGTGGAGGAGACTTCGTCAGACCTGATTGCACAAGGTGATCCCAATTTATTTCTGGCTAACCTCAATATATCCAGGCAAGTCGATCAAGTTTAAGATTTTTATTTACACAATTCATAGATAACCTTAAAAAAATCAATCACCCTGCCCAACTACAATATATTACTCTCCTCAAGCTGTTTAAAATCTTGTAGGATCTAGGAGCTCTTAATAAACTGACCTTTCAGCTCTGGCAAGAGCTAATGTTTCCATTGATGCCAGTGTGTTCTTAGCAAATGACAGCATGATAATCACCTGTTTTCTGTACCTCCTTCAGAGATCCCACTGTTGAACAACAAAGTGTCTGTCTTTGTCAGTTAGTTGCAGTAAGAAAATAAAACACAATAGCTAAATTAAACTATTTTTCTTCTTTGCAGGAATTTTTTAAAATATAAAAATATTCCAACACAAAAGGAGCAGTGTTGTTTACAATGACAAAGTGTACATCATTTGAGTAATTCTACAGTGAATGTGGCATTAGGCATAGTCAAGTAAATGAGGGTTTATTAAAGTGTAAGGGAGGTCATATTGTATCTCTGTGTGCTGGCAACAGGTGTGAAGCTTTAAATATACATATTTGTACTTCAGGAATAAAGTCTAACCAGCAATACCAGACATACATACCAGACAGGCTTCTTCTTTCTCTGCCTGCTACAGAGAAACAGCTGCTTAACAACTACGCTATAGTTCTATTTCGTATAGGCTTCGCCCTCTAAGAGCTGTCGCTATTGGGTTTATCCCTCGCGCATGCGCAGTCCTGAAGAGATTCTTTCGCGCCCTGTGCCCTGCACTGGGCTGTCCTCAATTACGTCCGCAGGAGTAGTATAGGTGTCACTGCGGCCTTAGCTCTACTTTTTCTTTTTTTTCAGTGTTCAGTCCTATAAACATCGTCATGGATAATACTAAAGAGCGAAGACGCCGCCACGCTGTCACCATGTGTCCTGGCTGTGAAACGGGCTTCATCTTACCCAGTGACCCGCACCCCTGCTGCGCTGCCTGCCTCGGCGCAGAGCACGCCGAGCTGGCCCTCTCGCCGCAGGCCGCTTGCCCCTTCTGTGCTTGCTTGCCTGCGGCGGAGGAGCCGCGGGGGGAGGGAGGATTTGC